TTCGCCCGTCATGCAAGCAGTATGATACTATTAGATAGTAGATTCTATGTGGAGTAATAATCAATACATATTTTCACACACAAGATTGTGGCTGACGTGCGCGAATAAAGCATGATAGGACGTGCCTTAGAGTGCCAACAGCGATCGGTGTCCGGCGTCCGCATCGCCGACGTTTGCCTCCACCATCATCACGCCACGAGGTGCACTTGATGCGCTTTTCATCAATCTTCCACTTTTCCCATGCGCATCGCAGGACAGCCTTTCCCATCTCTCGCAGCCCGTTCGGCGCGACCTTCTTCACATGTGCGCAGGCGGTCGATGGCGGCATGACTCGGAAGGCAGGAGGGAAGACACACATCGTAAGCGACAGCCTGAGGGTATCTTGTGACTCGGACCTGAGGACGGCGGAGTCCAGCGCGCAAAACAGGTATCTATCGCGCGACGAGTGCGTCGAGTCATCGCCTGTCGGAACGGTGAGCCCTTCCCGAGGTTTTCGCAGGGCACTTCTGCCCTCCCGTCTTGTCAACTCCCAGACCTCGCTCTCACGCCGCTGCTGATGTCCCATCTCGGGTCCTAATGCGTTCCGTACCAATGGACCTCACGCCAAGAGTATGGCAGTGGAGCGGCGCTTCGCATGTCAAATAGATTTGAGGTGGCCTGCAGCCCCGCGACGGGTGCAAGCATAAACGGCTGAGTACTATAGTGAGTATCTGAGTAACTCGAGTCGCTGAGTACTAGTGTTACAGGAATCGGCGCTCGCATGAGTTGGTTTCGTGCTCTCTTGTGCACCCTCCCCCAAGCGCATATACCCTACTAGCATAGACCATTAACTCGCCCGCCTATTTGCTGAAACACCGCGGTTTGCACACTTCTGATGCCGCCGCAGATGTCAGCAGCGCGCAACCGGCCGTGGATCGAGTGGCCGCACGGATGTGGCTCAACGATCGTACTCGTACTCGAGAAGGGCGCTGTCACGGCGTTCAAACCCGTGTGCCAGCGCGCCAAGGCGGACTAGAGGCGGGAAGCGGGAAGCGCTGCAGAAGTCCGAGGTGAAAGGAGGACGCCAAACATCGACCAGCGGCTTATGGCATGAGGAGCTTGCATCGCATCTTGACATAACCGGTATTGACTAGAGCAGGCCCGACGGTGATGTTTCTGCGTACGGTTCTCGGACTTATTGCGAGCAAATGAATCAGTACGTCCATGTCATTCTCTTGCGATGTGGCGTAGGAGCATGCGCGCGGGTCCGTACCCTAGAGGTAGGGACTCTCAAATTCGACAAATCCCTTAGCTGTTGGCTGTTTGATATGTCCGCGAAGGCTGCGGCCATGTAGCGCCCACGCAATTCTAACCAGAAGATACCATCTGGGCATGCATGTGGTCCGTTCGGAGATGAATCACACTCATCTACATCAGCGGGCCAATCTTCCCTCGCTACTCGCGAAGCCTAATTGAAATACGCGGGAAGAGGAGCTCCCTTCGATCCGCATTCGCGGCTCTGCCAATGTCCCGATGCGTCTGTACAGCCCGAGTGACATCGATCTCATGGCACATCTTGTGTTTGATGATGCATCCCATCTCTCTTTGGCTATCCTTTAATGTATCAGGCGACATATCGTGTTCCTCACAATTCGAGTACTCTCTATCAGGTGGTTCCCTGTGCTGCTAACTTTAGCCGTGTTAGTAGCGTCGCTGTCTCCAGATCCTCCAGAGCCGGCGCCTTTCTTTCCGGCAACCGGACTTTGGGTTCACAGTCAGAAGCTCTGGACTTACGGAGCGGCTGTTCCTTGCAAGAGAGCGCATTTACTCTGCATTATCTTCTCAATCAGTATTCGCAGCCATGAAGTAACATTTAGCGCTGTCAGGCGCCATATGGAATCCCCGGCTACCGGTGAGGTTGAGACATATATAACTCCTTGGCAGTTGCTGAATGTACGACATCAAGCCCCTTCGCAGATCATTACGCCAGCATTAAAACCCCCTAGCTGCCAGTACAATGTCCGTTGGCTTGGCATCTATAGTCTCACAGAAGTATGTGTCCTGCCCTGAATTGTGTACGTCCGCTGACGCAGTATGTTAGCATCGCCGCAAACTATGCAACCTTTGCAGCCACAGGTGACTATGGCCACGTGAAGGAGTTCTGAGGACTTACACTTGAGGTTACAGCCTTGGTGTTCTACGATTACTTGATCACGTTCGACCGAGAAGTCCGCACTGTATGGCGACAAAAGTTCTCGATTGTTTCCCTTCTCGTCGTGTCTACTCGATGGACGCTGCTCTTGCAGATGGCATTGACATTAACCACCTTCACTCCGCGAGGATCAGTGGTGAGCAATATCCTTTCGTGCAGCTGAATCCAGTATAGACCTGTTGCAGAGGTATGTCCTCCATGATTTGATTGTGCTGCCGGTGAAGATGACGTAAAACACAGCTGCGAAGTCATTAATTGGATGGCGACAATCCCCGCACTTGTGGGTTTCGCACAGACTGCCAGTGAGCACGACGCCTCAGAGGTATACCATGCGCAACCTGACCACTACTAGTCTTCTCTGCACTGCGTGTGTGTGCAATCTGGGATCGTAACTACGTCCTGTTCATAATCGTGCTTGTTCTGGGCCTCCCGCCTGTGGTTACCACCGCTGTAAGTGCAGCACTTTTCTGGAGACTCGGATAGACGCACTTGGTGACCTGGCGCTGACATCCTCTAAGTATGACTTAGCCCGAAGCTCCTTCAAATATTTTCCTCCACCAATTGGTGCATGCATGGACGACACTCTCTACTCCGGTGATTCGTATCTCATGTAAGTCCTTTGCCTTGCCTCTATCATAGTCACGGTACGCGTATTCAGCTCAAATTTCTAGTGGTATGTTTACACTAATGTGTGGACCAACTATCACTGACTGCCGATTTACAGTGACCTTCATCACTCGCGTTCCGTTGATTCTCGCAGACTTGCTCGTCCTAGTCTTGACATGGATGAAGACCTACCGCCAATACAAAGAAGCAAGATCATTGAACATCAAGTCATCGCTCATTACGTGCCTCATACACGACAGTAAGGCCTTCTCCTCGTGTTAGCTGCAGGTTTCTGAGTCATTGACCTCGTCTCTGCTCCCTTGCTAGGCACGGTCTATTTCTTGTAAGACTCATTATTCAATTTCCTTCGGTTTCCCCCCACTTATAGCTGCTGGCAGTATCCTCCTGGCACTGAATGCCTCCCAGGTCCTGTTTTTCTGCTTCGTAAGTGGCCTACGTTTTACTTGCACCACCCAGCATACCGACCACCCACAGAGTTCCACAACCATCATCTTCGTATTCACAACTACACTGGTGAGCCAACAGCCCAAGCTTCCCGACCATCTGACATCTCCGCCTTACACAGCCGCAAATCCTGATTTGCCGATTCATGATGAATTTGCGTCTACTCAACCTCGACAGATCCACCACTTCTGACATCGGCACGTTTCAGCTGTTGGCTTCGCTGCGCGTACTGACGGTCAACAACGACGCAACACCGAGTTCCATGGGGAACGTTAGTGAATCCCTGGGCTACGACCAGGATGACGGGGAGAACGACAACGCGCATATCAGCGGCGAGCAATCTACATCGCACTCTGGAGAAGAGCCAGACGTCTAGTTAGCCATCCAGAGATTGTACGGGGGAATAATCCAGGATTTCGTGGCGCGAGACATCGTTGATGTGAATTTGTACTCTTGAGCAATTTTCTTTTATTTTCTATCCCACTTAATTTGTGTATAATTGTGTGCTACAATAATTATGATGCGCTTGTATGCCATGCTTAATTCACAGAGACTGTTTCACTTTTGGTTAATGGGGGCGAAGCACTCGCTCTAGCAACTCGAGACGCCTTACCTAGACTTCTGTGAGCACTGCTCTTGTCAAAAATACTCGAGGATTTGCCGACATAGCACGAAAACGATGCACTGGCCTGCACCCGCCAATGCGGATAAGCTCAACGGACAGGGAGTGGAGCTAGACCGACACCTGAAAGTCCATGGAGAGGATCTCCATAAGTTCTGCAAGGAGTGCCCCGACAAGGCCAATGATGTCTCGAACGTCTCCGTCGAATTACTCGAACAGCTCAAGAGATTCCCATCGTTCCACCATCAGTGAGATCGAGCCCGCGCCCCATGCACATGTCTCTCCATCGCGTACACGCGTACACTGGCAGGTCTTCGTAGATCCTGCATGCAGGAAGAGCTCACCCATTATTGCCACTCGAAGGACATCGCGCTCGCAGCCCACTCCTCGCTCAACCCCTACAACTAGTTACTGCTCGCTAATCTGGTAACAGCGCGGGGGCACACGGCGGTGTGAGCTATGCGCGCTCGCTCCAGGCGAACCGCCGCGAGGTCGCGGCACCCATCAAGCTCACCACGCCTGAGCACGTCGCCAAAATTTTTAAGCTAATCGGCATCACCAATGTGGAAATCACAGGGCTTAGCACCATTCGGAAGGACGCGAGCTTCCGCACACGCCACTCCGAGTGGACGGGCTGGGGCGATCTCGGCTTCCTTGGCCGCCAGGTCCTCCGAAAGAATGAAATTTATTTGATATATTGGGAGCTGTGCGCATAGAATAGAGACTATGACTCGTCATCCGGTTCTATGCCGCATAAAACCGGCTCGTGTGTCAGAATGCTGTGGCCAATAGTTTCAGTTCGCCGGAGTTGTGGCAGACGGCCGGGAGCAAAACGAACGCACGTAGTCTTGCTAATGTATTCACCTGAATTCGACCAGCTTCGCCTCGAAAGCTGCCGAAAGATTGGAGAAGGAGCTGTCCGCACTAGAACGACTTGTTCATGACTGCAACGCTATCGTGTAAGATATATGAGTGAGCTGATTCAGTTCGGCGGCCTAGACACGGGAACTTATTAAGTTACACCGGACTAGCCACCCAGAAGCGCCCATGAGCGGCTAAGACACGCTGAAGAATTTCTGAAAAGCCCAAAAAATGGCATAAGCGGGAATCGAACCTGAGACCTAGAAGTAACCTCAACGCGCCACGCCACTGGGGCATAAGCTCTTGAAAGTAGAGAAACGGAATTATGATACATTACCATTTTTTCACCTTGTCTTAGCTGCTCAAGTCTTATGTTCTACCACCCATACACTATTTTCCTGATATAAGGCATTTACTGGTGAATTACCCCGCATAGTGTTTCGTTAGCTAAGACCATGGCACGGCTAAGACACCGGCGCGGCTCAGACGTTGGCGTGGCTCAGACGTTACCGTGGCTCAGACACTGGCGTGGCTCAGACGTTACCGTGGCTCAAACATTGGCGTGGCTCAGACGTTACCGTGGCTGGCCGTGGCTAAGACATACCATGTACAATACTACAACCTTACCGTAATTACAATAATTTCCAAGCAGCGCAACCGAGCATGAAACTCAGCGATAGAGTAGCGGGGCCCCTCGCCGAAACACCTGAAAAGAGAGGCTTCCTGCTTGAGGGGCCAACGGCGGAACCAGCCGACAGCAGGGCGTGCCGCTCCTATGCGCGCGGTGTATAAGAGATCGATTCGGGGTTGTAGATGTACTTGATCCAGCAACCCGTTTCATCTTCCACGTAGTGGTGTATCTCGGACTGTCGAGAGAATAAGAGA